TTTCATTAAGGTTTTGGCCAGTGAAATCTAAGCTGTTATTTTTTGGATGGAGCTTCTAGGAAAGTGCTTGGGAGTGGGAATAATTTTTGCCTTCTCAGGAAAATAAATGGGATAATGGGAATTCCAATGGCAATAATTAACATCTGTTCCTGTTTTCAGTGTCTTTGAACAGATACAAAGAAGCTCCCATCCTTCCAGATGAGTTAGAAAAGTTCCTCCATGGGCCGGCTGGTGGTGTGGTAAAAGTGGCTGGATCCCATGTGGCCACTGTGTGGTTGGAGTCCCAGACCTGGCGGCCTGATAAACCTTGTGTGCATGCATGTCCAAAATCCTGAAAGAGAAATGAGAAGGGATTGTGGTTATGACCATGTCCTATAGGGAGTGCACGCCTCATTTTCCCTCTGTCTGTCTGTCTTTCTCTGTTTCTCTTCAGAAAGCACACTCATCCTCTAGCAAAATTTAAAAAAAAAAAGAGAAAAAAAAATGATTCTTTGGGTAGATGCAATCCCTCCTAGTATACAGCTCCCATCTTTGCAGTAAGCAACCTACACAAGCACATAGGGTGGCCCTGACAGCAATACTGGACCATGAAGCAGGGAAGGAAGCCATCCTCTAACAATAGCAAAGTCAAAGAGAGGAGGAGCTGGGCCCTGCTGACTATGGACGGATGCTCCCTTTTGGCCCTGAACTAACTACATTCAGTAGAAAGTTTTTCATGGGGGAGAAAAAGAAAACTTAAGTTACTGTTATTTCTGATTTTTGTAAAAATTAAGCAACATGGTATGATTTGAGAAGTGCTACCACCCATTAATGAATTCAACAAACATTCCTTGAGACCTAGGCTTCAGTCTTTCATGTGCTAGGGATAAGGACAGAGCTTATGATCTAGGATGTGAAAGACAGATGTATACATACACAGGAAATGACAGCATACTGTCGTGTGGTTGTTCAGTTTGCATACTGCACAGAGACATCTGGCCAGGAGCAGGAGTGTGGCTGGGGGTGGGGGGATGTGCCCTGACAGACTGCATCCACCCAGAGAGGAACCCTTCCTAATTTATCTCCACAAATGAAGTGCCTGTTTATTTACTTATTGAATGAGTAAGAGGGACAGAGTGACAGAGGGACACAGAGAGAGATACCACACCTCCAACAGAGTCTTGATGCTGCAATGTACCCCTCCCACCTCAGCCTGTATGGATCATAGAACATGTGTCTTGTATACGCAGAGAGGTCATGAACTAGCAACCCTCTTAGGTGTGTCGGCCTTGAAGAGTGTCTTGTTTTCCTGTTGTGCAATGATCTGGTCCTACGTGCCTCTTTTTAAAGACAAGACTATGATTCAACTAATAATAATGCCCTATTGCAGTTTATTTCAGTGAGTTTTGTTTGTTTGTTTGTTTCTTGGGTTTTTTTTTTTCAGAGATTTTTCCCTTAGGGTGCATGTGCTCACTAGAAAGAAAAAGACAGTAAGAGGGAAAGTGAGAAATCTTCCCCTGGAGGATGGTCACTGCAATCCCTCCTCCATTCTCCTCCCAGGGTCTTGGGCACGCACACACTAGTGCCCAGAGTGATTTTTCAAGCTGGGACTTGAACCATGGTCTACCATGTGGGAGTCCAGCAACATAACTACTATACCACCTGCTGGCTCTATTTCAGCGAGTTCCTAACTTATTGTAGTGATAATCTTCTTTGAAAGAATAGTCATATGCAAACATAGTGTGTAAATCCAGATGCTTTGGTCACCAAGGTTGAAGTTAGATTAGAAACAGAAGAAAAAATCAATAGTTAATTTAATCACATTTATTGTAAAAGAGGTAGGCACATGTATTAAAACAGCACATAGATTTTGTTGTTGTTGTTGTCGTTGTTGTTTTCAGAGAAAACATCATAGAAGTAATATTAGAGCTAACAGGGGCCTGCAAGTAATGTGGTGGTTAAGGACTCTGGACTCCCACATGGGTTCGAGTCCCGGAACTGGCAGCTTGCTTTCTCACTTTCTCTCTCTCTGTCCCCCTCTGGTCAAATTAAAACAAATAAGTAAATAAATAAAGTTAAATAAAAGACTTCTTAAAAAACCGTAGTAGTATTAGAGCTAAATATTGAAGGATGATTTCAAGAAAAGGACAAAATACAAGAGCATACCACCCTGAGGAAATAGCTCATGCAAAGATGTTTAAGGGAGCATGGCCTGTTTCAGAAAGTGACAAGTGCTTCGTACATGGCAAGAGAGGGAGAGAGGCTGGTGGTTTGTGTGGCTCCAGGCAGCAGTTCTAATCAAGAGCTGATCATGAAAGGACACATATACTTGTGCAGTTAGGTTTTGGTTGATAAATTATGAGAAATCACTTAAAGAGCAGAATAATATGAATAGAACATATTCTTTGGAGGATGTTGGGATTATTCGTAATTGGGATACATTAAGAGACAAAAATGCAAAAGCTCAGACAAGAGGCTGACCTAAGACACTAGCAGTACATTAGATGAAGGGAATAGATTAAGACAAATATTTAGAATTGGTAGATCTTGGTAAGGGTGGGAAAGAAAAGTTAAGGATGCCTCCTAGGATTCTGTGTTAGGTAACTATTCATCTGATGACATGATAGTACTATTTGTACTGAGAAAGGGTCATGTGAGGCCAGGAACACATTTCAGAGAAAAGATGTAAGTTCGGTTTTAGACATAATGATCTTGAAGTATGTGTAGACTATCTAAGGAGAAAATTGATAAGATATAGCTGAATGTTGAGACCAGCAGATGAAATAATGGTTACATCACTGGACTCCCACATAGTAGACTGCGATTCAAGTCTCGGACCCAGCAGATTAAAACTCACGCCCGGTGCATGTGCATGCACACCTAAGATCCTGAGAGGAGAATGCAGAAGGGACTGCAGTATGGCCAACCTCTCTGGGGGGTGATTTCTCACTTTCTGTCTCTCTGTCTCTGTCTGTCTGGTGAGCACACATGCCCTATCGCAAAAAAAAAAAAAAAAAAAAGAGCTGAATGTGTTTGAGAACTCTGAATTGGAGAGATGTGGGAGTTTTCAGCATAAAGCTGGTAATTATAACTTATAGATGTGAACATTTAAGACTCAAAGAGTGTGTTTGGGTCCAAGACAAAAACATACAAACACACACACACACACACATACATATATATATGTATATTTTAACTTTTTATTAAATTTGCTATAGGGTACATGTGCTTGCCAGAGAGAGAGACAAAGAGAGAGGGAAAGTGAGAAAACACCCAGAGCGGTGATGGCCTGGTCTCAGTCTCTTCTCCATTCTTCCCTTGGGATTGTGGTTTAGGATTTGGGCATGCATGCACATCTCAAGCAGCCAAATCCAGGACTCGAACTGCAGAGTCAGTCATGTGTGATCCAGCCACCTTACCCATCACACCACCAGCTGGCTCCAATACTGAAATCTTTCCAGGTGGCCTCCATGGCTGCCAAATACCTTCCCATTAAGCAGTCAGTGTCTGAAGTTGCCACTGTTGTGATTTATTCTTTTAGGTTGTATTTCTTTACTTTTTTGGGGGAGAGGTTTTTTGCTAGGGTGTGCCAGAGAGACAGAGAGAAACAGAGAGACAGAAAGTGAGAAATCACCCTCCGGGGGGATGGTCATGCCACAATCCCTTCTCCTCTATTCTCCTCTTGGGATCTTGGGCACACATGCACACGTACCCAGCGTTGAGTTTAAGCCACTGGGTCCGGGGCTCAAACCACGGTTGACTATATGGGAATCCAGTGACATAGCCATTATACCAGCTGCTGGTCCCTCTTTTAGGTTGTATTTCTAAATACTTACTTATTTAAAATACTTTTGAGAAGAATTAAGCATAGTATAATAAAGAGAACAACTGAAGTATCAAGAGACCAATTTCTGATACTGGCTTTGCCACCTGACTGCCTGTGATGTTCAGCAAGTCTCTTGGCCTCAGCTTCCCCATGTAGAGAATGAGGAAGTAGAACCAGGTGATCTTCACCATTTGGAACACTACAATTCAACCAAAATAATGACTTACTATAGTTTAGTTCAGTGATTTTTCGAAGTTACTGAGCAGTAGTGAGCCTTCTTTGAAAGAACTTTCATGCAGAAACACAAGGTATTAGAATGTTCTGACTATATGTGTTAACTCAAGTTAGTGTAGATGTAGAATATAATTTACCAATTTAGCCATACTCCGTAAAAAGATACAGAGGGGACCCCAGAGACAACCTGAACCACCTGAGAACACTGCACCACCAGGAACTGGTCTCTACAGTTCTCATCTGTGTGGCAGACCAGAGAAGGACAGAGAGGGAAAGGGAAGAGAAGGAGAGGGAGAGAGACAGAAAGCAAGCCACCAGGTCCGTGACTTGAACCATGGTCAGCAATGTGCGAGTGTGTGTCCAACACCCTTAATCACCACACCACCTGGCAGCCCCAATAAATAATTCTCTAAAATAAGTTAATGAAGGGGCTGGTAGGTGGCATGGTGGTTAAGAGCCCTGGACTCTCACATGGCCAACTGCAGTTTGAGTCCCAGACCTAGTGACTTCCTTTCTCACTATCCCTCTCTCTCTCACTGTCTCTCTCTGGTCAAATTAAAAAATAGATAAATAAATAAAGTTAAATAATTCTTTAAAAAAATAAAACTAAGTCAATGAAGATTTAACTTCTCAATATTTGTACAGTGCCAATTACTTAAAAAAATTATTCTCTAATGTCAATCTAATTGCAAATGAGAAGCACGGTCTATTTTGAGGATGATATAATCCTACTAAATATATAAAGGTAGGTATTGCCTTCTTTTTGTTTTTAGTGAGTCAATCCATTTGACAGGGTATAAAGACAACATCTCTTAGAGATTTAGACTGCATTCAGTTGGCCTTTTTATAATAACAGCCATTATTCTTAACTCTAAATATTACAATGACCTTTCTTTTCCAATAGATGGGGATGCACTTACTATTCAAAATTCAGAGGCCTGTCAGATTTCATAGTATGTACCTTTATTCCCAGCTACCAGGGAGGCTAAGGCAGGAGGATTACAAGTTCAATACCAGCCTGGGCGACATTGTAGAATCCTGTCTCAAAACAAAGAAACATAGACCAACAATGAATATCCCATATATAAACCTGTCTGAATTTAAGGACAAGCAAATTCCATTTATTAGTGTTTTTTATTTATTTATTTTTTTTAACATCCACAATGGCCCTCTCCTTTGATCCACCCCAGACACTACTATAAAACACCCTGTCAGAATGGACAGGTAAAATACAGCTCAACTAAAACACCAATGCTACCAGCCTATCCTCCTAGACATTGCTGTGAAAATTAATTTTGTGTCACTTTTCATACTTCCATTTCTGGTTGGTTCTGTGAGAATTTCCTCTTTAAGTGTCAGCTTCCCCTACAATGATTGAGACCTCTTGAAGAATAGGGACTATGCTTGACTGTAACTCCAGTGCTAAATACAGTGTCTGGAACATAACACATCCTCCACGTTTGTTTACTGCCTACAAATAAGAAGCTAGAATTTTATCTATAAGTAATTGAAGAAACTTACATTTATGAAGATATCACATTGTATGATTTATATTTTTCCAGATATTTATTTCTCTCTGTATTTCAACATTTGGTAGCATGAGAAACCTTCAAAAGTTTATAGAAAATTGGGACCAGCAGTTAGTGTAATGGCTATGTCGCTGGACTCCCATGTAGTCGACCATGGTTGAGTCCTGGACCCAGCTTAAAACTCACGCCCGGCGCATGTGCGTGCATGCCCAAGATCCTGAGAGGAGAAGGGATTGCGGCGTGGCCATCCCCCCTGGGGAGTGATTTCTCGCTTTCTATCTCTCTGTCTCTGTCTGTCTGGCGAGCGCATACACCCTATAGCAAAACCTCTCAAAAAAAAAAAAAAGTTATGGAAAATGCATATTCTGAAAAAACTATGCATGAATTTTCCATTTTTTTTGTACCAAAATAAACTTATACTTCAGTTTTATCATGAACTTTTTGATGTCCCCAGCATATTTTTTAAAGAATTATTTATTTAACTTTATTTATTCATTTATTTTTTTTTAATTTGACCAGAGACAGAGAGAGAGAGAGAGAGAGAAGGTGAGAAAGCAAGCCACCAGGTCTAGGACTCGAACTGTGGTCAGCCATGTAGGAGCGTCCAGCGCCTTAATAATCACAATCACACTACCTGCTGGTCTCTGTCCCCTGCATATTTCTACTGGAAGAATAGTGTTTGTGTACCAAGGAGAAATGCTCTGGTAAAATGCCACTGAGGCAAGTTCAGGATTCTAGGCTCCTGAAGTGACTTGAAGATACTTATCTGTTGTGTGTCAACTTAGATTTTAGATAGTTGAGGATGAGTGAGACTTTTTCCAGAGTTAAAGTCATTTTGACACTTTCTGCACAAGATTGAAGGGGCTGTTGTAGCTAGGAAAGCAAATGGAAACTTAATCCTGTTGGAAAACAAAGTAGCTTTTTGTCTTTTCTGTCCAAAGGGACTTCTTCACTCACTTATTCACACTTCTTAGTGACAATAAAGTCTTGCGAATATTTCTCTGCATTGGTGGACTCTTTTAATAGTTCTTCAGTTAATGCTAAATGATGATTTGCACTTTTATTGCACCAGCTTTCCCAAGAGATGGAGGCGTCTTACACTCAATAAGACCTAAGATGAACTGCAACCAATACAACGTGTTTGGTGTGCTGCAAATTGCTAATATACCCTTGACCAACACTGGCAAACACACGAGCCCGGATCACGCATTGAGAAAGAGATGTAAGTTATGCAAACCTACAGCAGTAGTATGCTGCCTCTGAAGCCGGTGTAATTTGCTTTTTTGGAAGACTCTGAAGCTGGCTCCACAGAACCAAAATTAAGCCCTAGACACGTAAAATATCAAGGCCACATCACCAAGTAAACACTAATATTTCTAGTTTATATTTGGATGTTTTCATTCTGTAGCTGGCACAGATAAACTGGCAAGCAAACGTAATTCTAACTCGAGAAGGGAGAATTAGAGAAAAAGAGAAGGTTATAGCACAGCGTCACAGGTTCTTTTATTTACCTTTCAAGATACGACTTACAGATGTTACACGTTGGGGAAAAAAAAGCATACTAAAGCAGTCAGGAAACATTTCCTTGGGTCACTTCACCTCACCTGGTGTGTCATTAGCCACCTAGACCTGTGCTCAGCGGTCAGGACGCCTCGGGCGAGCGTGCAGCAAACAGCGCCAGGTCCACGCAAGAACACGGGAGGAGGCGGTCTCACCACTCTCTTCCCCATGGCTTTGTAGATGCGGGCTCCTGATGCCCTACCAGCCCGCTCTGCTCTGCAGCGCGCTCAAGCAGAGTCTAGGCCTACAGCAAACGTAAAGAAAATACGCAAGTCCCCAGGCCAGCGCACGCACACGCGCACCACGCACGAGGGGCGGGGCCGAGGCGCCAAGCCGGAGCTCCGCCCTGCCGTGGCCCCGCCTCCTTTCCTCACCCCACCCCTCAGCGCCGGGGAGTGACTGACTCCCGCCAGCCCCTCCACGTCAATCAACCCTCCTCCTTCTCGCACTCTCTGCACCTTGTTATTAATCTCAAAACCCATATCGCCCGGACGCCTCTCCCCCGGCCTTCGGGGGTGTGAACGTGTGTGAGCGAGAGCGAAGGCACCGAAAGCTGGCGTCTCTGTTCAGCGTCGGCCCCGGCAGCACCCAGCTTA